ACCTCCCTTTACCCGACACCACAGAAGGTTGGTTGTTAGCTTATTAAGCTCGGACGCCAGCAGCAGGCATTTGAAACAACCATAATAGAAGATTGGCAGATTACTCAGAACCGACTTAATCAGAGTAATACGACCTCCAAAATAAAGGAATCTGCCCTTCCAACCGTCGAGTCGAGACTTGAATCTATCAATGATCGACTGTCTACGGAATTTCTTAATTGGCCTAAGGGAAGCCCGAGGTACTTAGTGGGGAACCTATCCCACCCGCACCAAATCGAAGCAGCCAACTCCGTAACACTCCTATCATCCAAATTAATCCCAAAAAGCTTCGACTTACAAATATTTAGCCTCAAACCAGCCGCTGCCTCGAAGATATTTAGCAATCGCTTGATATTTTTTACTTGCTCTACCTTCACATCGGAAAACACAATCAGGTCATCTGCGAACTGAATATGCAACACGCATCTGACTCACCCCCACTGAGACGCCACTAATCAAACCGGATGCAACAACGTTGTTCATGTTGGATATATGAACTGCAAAACTACACCGTTAGCACTGACTGAAAATATAAACAGTAATTAAGAAGAACAGATTCGTAAACCGTGTCGTGGTAAGAACCACTGCCTTAGAAACGAATTCGCCTCGATTTGTGTAATCGCTGCAGTAGGCGGACCGTCCCCCGAGGTTAACACGGTCGCTCCGAATTCCGTACACCCGAAACCGGAGTGGACTGCTCGTGACGTGACGTGCCGTGCCGTGCCGAGCCGAGACGAGACGGACGGACGGCGGCGGCGATGCGCGAGAGCCCCCCTTGTTCTCTATCACTCAACAAGGAAGTGGAATGTCAAGCCTTAAATACCATTCCCAATAGTGTTTCCAACACTATGTGGGATTGAGCATCACCAACAGTTCAAGCACCCACATAGAGCCTCACCCGCATGATTAAACAACATGAGTGACGGGGACCCTTCCTAATCTTGAAACTAGCAGAAGGCGAGCCATTAACTAACACTGATGTAGACACCGTTGAAACGCAGAGCCGAATCCATTTCTGCCATCTTACACCAAAACCCATCAATTTCATAACAAGGTCTAAAAAGCCTCAATCTACTGAATCATATGCTTTCCGAAAATCTGCTTTAAACACTATGGCCTTTATTTTCGTTTTCTTCAAATCATCCACAAGCTCGTTAGCGATAAGGGAACAATCAATGATCTACTTTTTAACGGTGAACGCAAATCGCGTATCGCCCCCCGACATCCCCAATGCACCCGACTAGTCGCTTTGATAGAACCCGAGATAGAATTTTGTTGACACTCCCCACTAGAGAAATTGGTCTAAAATCGTCGATGGACTCGGGAGAACTCTTCTTTGGAATCAGATTGATGTAAGAGTGATTTACTGATTTATCTAAAGAACACCACTGTGAAAAGAGGCCAGAGACTCCATAATATCATACTTCAGGTGACACCAAAACTTCTTAAAAAACTCAAGGTTGAAATCATCTATACCCAGCGCCCGAGCCCGTCAGCCGAACTAATGGCGCCCCAAACTTCTTCTTCTGAAAAATGAGCCTTTTAGCTTCGACTCGTCCCAGCATCTAGTTTCTTCAGTGGCACATTGAGCTCACAAATTGGGATCGTATTGATCTCATTATAGCTTTCCTGAAAATGATCATTAAATATCCTGGACAGCTGCACCTGATCTTTTATCACCAAGTCACCAACGCGAAGCATGGAGATGAAATTAGATTTGGCCCTCAGAGAGGAAGAGATATGAAAAAAATTGTGTTCTGGTCACCCTCTACAAACCATTTGAGGCGCGATTTCTGCCACCACTCCCTTTCGTCACGACGATATCTCGCCCAGAGCTTGCTTTTCAGAACACGGATTTCCTCTACTATGCCAGTGTTATTTGGATCAGACAGTAGACGATTCTCCAGCTCTTCAATTTCTCCAGCCCTTAATAGTGGGATGATTCCAATGACCCTCAACTTACGACACACCTTATTCACCAGATTCACGTACTCAGCATTGTCAGTCCAGTGAATAAACCATTTAAAAGTGCTCCGATGACTAATAAAGTCGTCCACCTTAAGTTGCACTGGGTTGTAATTCGATATACTTCGGGGCAATGTGCATTGAATTAGCTGAGGAAATCCCAAGAAGACATCAGGTGACACAAGAACCCTATCCAGATGACTAGTTATGGTAACGTCATCACAATGTCGTTTTGTCCACATTATCACAAGAAACCTATACAATTCAGTTCCTAAAATTATGTTGTTTTGGGCATTGAATTAGCTGAGGAAATCTCGAGAAGACATCGGTAGCTTGTTTTGGGCATTTATAAATACAATTTTAATAGTATCTATAATTTTATTTCCATGGCACTTCTATTATCATATAACTTTAATAATGTGTGCTCATAGTTATGGATTTTAATCCAACACATGTTTTGTGGCCGCCTTTTGTCTAAAAATAAAGCTAAATTAAGTTCCCAATAAACCCAACAAGAAGATTGTTTAAATGTTATTTTGATATTTCACTACAAGAAAAATACCCTTTAATGACGCGCATTGCGCGTCATCTATGGGTGCGGATGACACACACAAATGCCTGTCGTTGAAGCCACCGACATGAATTTTTTATGACGTGCAATTGTGTGTCATAAATCTATGACGTGCATTTATGACGCGCATGTATGACTTACATTGCGCGTCATTGAAGCCCCTGTCATAAATTAAGATGACACACATTTGTGCGTCATAAATTTATGACAAGCATGTATGACTAACATTGCGCGTCATTGAAGCCCCCGTCATAAATTAAGATGACACACATTTGTGCGTCATAAATTTATGAAACGCATGTATGACTTACATTGCGCGTCATTGAAGCCCCCGTCATAAATCTGCTTGACATATATTTTTGTGTCATAAATATATGGCACGCATGTATGACTTACATTGCGTGTCATTGAAGCACACATCATTAAAAACGATGACACATTCGTGTGTCGTGATTGTATTTCGTAAATTATATATATATATATATTGTAGATTGACAAATAATCAAACTAAATCACATTTAATGCCTCATACTACTAAATATATATATATCATATTATATATAAGCAATCCATTTGCATACAATATATTCACATTAAGTTATCAAAAATATTGTAATCATATGTCGATACAAAATATCACAGCATAATAAAGTTCTTCTAATATGCCATCGCCATCCGGGCGTGTACACAAAAAATAATTGAAAATAATTGTAACAGTTAAAACTAGTTGTAATATATTGAACAAACACATTCCTAATATGCACATTAAACTTATGAAAACACCTTCCTTGGTCCAGTATATTTATGCACAAACATGCACTCATGTTTCAACAAACCAAGTGACAGCTTACTTTTTGAAACTCTATCATATTTTTCAGCAACTTTGTATTCTCAATTCCAATGGAGTTGAGGCTTCCTGATTCTAGTTGTGTTTCATCAACCATCAAGTTTGAGTTCAAAAATGTTGTTTCCAACCAGACTCTTACGACTTAACCGATACTGCAAAATGAGCTCCATCATTTTTACATCATAAACTGGTTACTAGAGTTTTAGAACAATATTAAGGTGCAAAGGTACATATTAAAAACCAGAAACATATTGACTATACCTCTCCAACATCAGGCTCATCATTTTCCTCAATGTCATCCACATCTTCAAGCTCTATCTCAAATATGCCTTTGTTGAAATCATCTTGTAAAATGGCATCCCATCCGATCTCCACCTATATGAAACTCCAATAAACTCACCGGCACACAAAGCCAACAATTCTTTATTCCAAGGAAAATTCAATTCACTTACATCTAGTTCTATCAATCGGTCCACCACAACCATAAGCATTGTGCTTCCAACGAGTTCTCCAATTTCACCACTCTCTAATTTTAACATGTTCTCCACATATATCACAACCGCCTACATAAAAAGTGGATAAGCTTCAGATTCAATGTTCTTAACAAGTTTCAATAATAAAAATAGGCAGTTGCAAGCACAAAAGCAACAAAAGCATGATATAATTGTTTAGGAAATTGCATTGAAGAACTTTACTAAAACTAAATCGAACGGTGTCTTACATTGTCATCCATTTGGGGACTAGAATCGAATGAATACGCACAAATCATAACAACAATGACTTTAAATGACGGTATATACTCTGACCAGAACAGAAAAATACATAAAAATTTGATGATAAAAGGACATCTAAATTTCCTACTGAGAAAATTCAACTTACTCGGTTCTTGTGATAAATTGTTGGCATTACTTGCAGAACTACAGTCAATAATCTCAAGGGAGCAAGAGGGACATAATCAACCATAATGTTGGTGCAAAACAAATTAGACAGGATCACATAAGATGGATATGAAGAATATACAACTAAAATGCTTAAGTCGATATAATAATGTATATGTGAAGTGTATAGATACTTGTATGATCTACATCACAAAATTCAAATTTACAAGCAATTACATCAAATATCAAAGATAAAACCTGCCTACTAAGAAACAATATAGGGTATCGACCATAACAAAATAACAAACTTCACCTTTCGTGTCTTTTTCTTCTTGCCTTCGTCAATTTCTTCACTCTCAACATATGATACTTTCCTGACTGACTTACTAGAAGTACGAATTTCATTGTGTCTTCCCATGCTTGTTGCCATATTAGAATGAACATTAATTTTATGATGATTTCCACTTCTTCGTGTCATACTCTTGAAATCCCCATTGCTTTCACTGTTAGAATCCTCAACTGAGTAATCCTTCTCATCAAAAGACAATCTCCCTCTTCTTTGTCGACTGGAGGATTTATGTTCTCTAGTGGGTTTTACATTATTACGCCCAACTTTAATATGTTGCATGCCCATGGGTTTCTTTTCAAGATAAGAATCGTCTTCACCTGTAACATCTATTTCATCACCATTACTATAATTTTCTTCCTTAGAATATTCACCATCCCAGTCTTTATCCTGTTTAAGAACTAAATTAGTGGGGAGAAACATCAGGCAAATGATAAGGCATAAGCAACACAACCATCAAGGGTCAAGCTTCATGACCAACTAAGAATATAATTTATTATGGATAATCTTAATTATGGCCCTATAATTGAATACTATTACACAGTAGTATTCATCACCATTTCCAGTAGAACAAAAGAAGAGATTGTGAAACCCTGTTTTTTACATTCTACAAGAGGAAGAAATTCCTAACACTTAACCCCAGCATAGTAACGAATATGTTCTCTTACATGGTACAATTAAATTCATAGTATTAAAAAGCTCCATCTTTAAGTGGTTAAAATAGTTTCTTTTTTTACCAGAGGGTCATGACAGCTAAAAGTTAAAGTAAAAGATTGTCAAAAACATAATTTACACTTATCAAGCAAATACTTATGTCGACACTCGATCCCTAGTCCATGTAACATCAATCTACATGCTTCAAGTCCTATAATTCACATTCTAATATTTTCCTGGTTATCTTTCCCTTACGCCAAAGAAAGGATTGGATAAAATATGACTTTAGAAAAATTCAAATGTGAAGGAGAATAACATAAAAATCATAAAATTAAAACTAGAACAAAAGAAGTTGAGAAGTAAAACTAATTTAATAACCTTATTCCCTGCATGAGAACTTGCAAGTCCATAGTCAGGCTCAAAATCTGCATCATGAGGATCATATTCTGAAAATAAAACATCAAAAACTTGGCATCTCAAAATCAAGGGAACAAAAATATTGTTGCATATTTAATGGCTAGGATTATATATAGCCAATCAATAAAAAAAACATTGATTTATTAAGTCTTAGTGACTCAATAAGAAATGTTGTACTAAGAAATAAGGCAACAAATGAAGACAGGAAGGGAAGGTGTATTACTATCTTCTTCCTCATAATCTGCATCAACATCAACATTGTTATCGTCATCATCTTCATCATTGTAGTTACGGTAATTTAACACTCTTGAACTCCTGGACATATTGCTCCCGACAAAAACATGCTTTGAATGTGGTCTAATATTTAACCCAGTAGAATTGCCAAAGCCTCTATGATGCATTGTATCACCTTGCTCTTCCCCATCATGTTCATAGTATTCATCAGATAACATCTCATCTGCTAGGACATCAAAGTGACCCCTTTGAGTCTTGCCAATATCTTTTTGTGCCTCATCAACATCCGATTCTAATCTAGCATCCCTGTCATCTGATGAATAATACACTGAACCTTCCAAAATTCTTATGGTCTGATTTTGACTCCAAAATAGAATCAGATCCACCATGGCGATCCATAGACCGACGGTCCTTCCAAAAATTTAAACCCCAATTCCCGGGTACTGTTCTTTTTCCTACTGGCTGAAAATTAGAATTTAAAATACCAGCCCCATTATCAGTAACTATATCACGATGCAGCCTACTCTGCTCAAAATTTGAAATGCCAACCACGTCGCTTTGATATTGTGCATCCATGTTAATACCAAATTCTCTTTCACTATCAGTCCCGTCTATGTCCTCATTCTCTGCTGATCTCAGAACCCGACCAATGTTTTGCCCATGCCTTTTCTCTTCCAAGACACCATGTGAGACTGTTTCATTTGAATAGTTCCTAAAACATGCCATCCTCTCACATTAAAATCCAAGGCATATAACTCCACTCTTTAAAAACTTGGCAAAAAGATTAGGGAATGCAAAGCAGCTTCACAATCTTTGCTGAGAACCTGGATAGTCAATCAGCCAAATGCCAAAATTTTAGTCCTTCTGAGATAAATCAAAACACACAATTGACATAGGAATATAAAGGGAAGTGGACAACAAAAGTAAGGTACTGCTCAAAAAGAACTTCGAGACAAATGAAAATATAATCTTTCACGAAATAATACAATTTACTAAGAAAACGACAATCCCTACCCAGCTGAATAATTAAACAATTCAATGTCCAACGTTGAAACTCTTTACAGTTTGCAACATTTTCTGAGCAACTACGGACGTCAACGAGAAGAACTTAGTTAAATGCAAATTGAAAGTCACTATTGACGTTGCAAGGAGTGAAAGACCATATGAAAACTTCAAAACTCTTTACACATAACTGCAAATTTCACATAACAATTACTCAATTGTTTCAAATACAATTCTAAAGAACTAAGAAACACATAACTAGGGACAAGAAAGTGTGAAGTCAAACTTAATGAACTCAAAGTCACACACACTTGTTAAATGAATTCGAGCTCATGGATGAACTTTCTAACCAAAACTATCCACAAAATCAGAAAACCCTAACCCGAATAAGGAAAGAAAAGCCTGAACTGAACAAGCCAAACAATAGATTGGTCACTCCAAACACGAAAATGAAAAAAATCGAAAACTAGATACATTGATTAGCAAACCCTAAAAAGATTAGTACAAGCAAGAGTTCACAATCCAAGCTTCTAAATCCGCATCCTCGAGGATAAAATATTAAAAATTAAGAATCGCGTGCAAAAGAAACCCGATTATTGATCAAAAACAAAGAAGCTGACCTCTAAGAAAATAAAATGAGAGCTTTTCGGCTAATAAGGAAAAGAAACCATTGGGTATAATTGGAAAAGATGTGCAAGTTAACAATCACGAGCACCTTTTAAATCGTCGGGAACACTAAACACAATCGGCCGCCAAATATTTTGAAAACGAAGAGACCATTTTCACTCGGGTCACGTTGACGATGGGGTCGACATGGACGTACTCGTTGAAAAGAGAAGTTTTAGTGTGTCCAAAGAAACGGTTCCAAAGGGGAGGAAATGGAGGTCGGTGTTGGTCAAGAAAAGGAAAGCGATTTTAGGGGAAGATGAGGAGGAGATGTGGGACGAGGCGGAGGGAGATACGGTGGCGCGGTGGAAGAGACAGAGATAATCTAGTTCTTTGGAGGCGGAAATGGGCGGCAGAGGCTTGGATTTAAACTTGGGCGTAACAAGAAGAAGATAATCAGGATGAAAAGCAGGAGATAAAATGAGAGAATGAAAAGAGTAGAAAACATTAGACGGGGAAGAAGCGGGAAAGGATGAAAGTAATAGGGGAAATTAGAATACGACTCCTAAAGATGACACACAATTAAAAAGTGTACTCCGTGTTTTTGTAAATTTTTTGGATTATGACTATTAAGACACACATTATTGTAAGTCATTAATCGTTCAGATTTTAAAAAACATGACATTTCTTTTATGACACACATGTTTTGCAAGTCATAAATTAGCGTGTGTCATTAAAGGTATATTTTCTTGTAGTGTTTTTAATAGGATAAACTACATTAGATACCACTGAACTTTAAGTCATGTATCGTTTATGTCACTAAAGTTTTAATTTCTCAAATTATAGCACTGAAGTTTTGTTTTAACTTCAATTATGCTAATGGATCGTTAAATTTTAACAACACGATGGCATGAACATACTTTTTTGTCATTGTTATGATGTGGACAAAATGACATTGTTTTGTCGATGACTATTATACCCAAAACAACATAATTTTAGGCACTAAACTGTATAAGTGTATATATTTTGCCATTGAACTTTTAAATAGTTCCATTTTGGCACTACAATTTTTTATCACCGTCGGCAGCTAATCATCTCCCGTCACCTATAGTCTTTCGTGATAAGACAGGTACCAAAATGTTCGTATTTCACTCCTGTTTCTTCTAATATGGTTAGTTTTCCACGAAACTTGCTCAAAATCGATGAAAACTCACTTAGAAGTTCGACGTGCTAATACTCTGATCTCTTTCAATGACTGTCCGATAAGGCTAGTGTTGAGGTATGTTGTTCTTCTTCTCGAACTAATGCTTCTCACTATTCGGATTTTCGAACAACTCCATCAAATCTTGGAGAGTCTCAACCTAAAAATGGTAGATTTTTTAAAGTGGATTTCTTGGAAATTCAATCCTATGAGAAGAAAGATGAGTGAAATGTGAATGTTTTGGTAATGATCTTGCCACATAAGACTATAGATGATGAGCGTTGATTGGCTACTGATGGAAACCAAAAAATTGTAATGCCAAAAATAAAATTGTTTAAAGTTTAGAGGTAAAATCAATACACTCATAAAGTTCAATGCCTAAAATGATGTCGTTTTAGGCATCAATAGTCACACCAAAACGATGTCGTTTTGTCTATATCATCACATTATTTGGATTATAACTGTTCAATGTCATAATTGAAGTTAAAAACAAAATTCAATACTATAATTAAAAAAAATTAAAAAAATCAAAAGTTTAGTAATATAAACGATACATTATCTACAATTCAATGGTATCTTATATATTATATCCTTTTAATAATGTCTACGTACAATCACATTAAAGTTGAATAACACAAGTTTAAACTTTAAAACACCTAATCTTATATAGGTTGCGTTTATAATTTCGTACAGTTTATGAGTTTTGAGTCCATTTCATAGATGGAGAAAATTAATATATAAACAAACAAACAGTTTGTGATCCATAAAATTATGTAAACATAAAAAGAATGGAATTTTGGGAATCTATATTTTCAACAAAAGAGGCATTAGATGAGTAAATCATGGTCATCCACGTGTCAAAGACCCAATTCCCCTGGAAATCTGGTTCATTCCAGGATTGAAACCCAAGCATCCAAGGAGGCCTTGCTTGTAAGGTAAAAAGGTCTTCTTCTTCATCTCCTCCGAGACAGCCCGGTTCGCCGTGTAATGCAACTCGTGAGCCGAAACCGCTCCTCTCCGGGACACCGAACCCGTACCAACAGTTGACCGGAAGCTTGCGTTTCTTACGTCATCGGATTGATCTTTCCTCGACAAAAGAGCATATTTTCTTAGTGGATCTTTACTTGCTGCTCTCCCTTCCGATGCACTTCGGAACAGAAAAAGGTCCTTCAGCTTCCACTTTCGGTTCGCTTTTGTGAACGAAATGGACGAGAGAATGGAAGATACATAAGAAGATTTATGATTGCTTGCGCTGGAATCCACGGTTTTCTGGGAATTTGATGAATCTTCTTCTTCTTCTTCTTGCCCCAACGTGAAGTCGCATGCTCTTAATGGAGACAATGATCTTCTTTTCTTATGAACGGAGTTGCAGGCTGAAGAAACGGCACTGGACATGTGTACTTTCAACAAAGGCCGGATCTTTCCGCCATCGAAAAGCTCATCGGCGGACAAGAAAGCTCTTTCCAATGGCCCGCTGAAGTTGAACTCGAAATCTTTGCCATTATCATCATGGTGGTTGCTCCTAGGAGTTTCGTCCCACTGAGAATTGGGATAGAGAGAAGAAACATGAGTGGGACTGGTCGGAGCACTGAGGAAGAAATTGCCAAAGCGTTGAGGAGTTGAAGGAGCAGTCATGAACGGAGATGAACATGTGCTGTCAAAGTTGAAATCCACCGCCGGGACTGGAGCCACCGTTTCCATCTCCTTTAGCTTCTTGGGTTCTTAAAATTCGACCAACATGAACACAGAAATCAGAGGACTCTTATAAGAAAAAGAAGAAGAAGAAGAAGGAAGGAGAGGCGAAGGAGCGTATATTTGACCAAGTCCGAAGGGGAAAATTGGTTGAGTTATGACTAGTTATACAGCCGCCTTTATAGTCAAGAATTCCATGTGATGAATTTATTAACATTAAGCCTGGATTTAAATTGCAGCCATGAAATATTTCAATCTTTTATTACCTATTAAATAAACTTGAAAATTATCAACTAATTTGTTCAAGTAGTAAATAGCTTGATATCGGTTAAGTTTTGAGTTCGAGATCTTATGTATATAGAAAATTTTAATTGTTTTCTATTAAAAAGTTGTCAAAAGATCTTATGTATGCAGAAAATTTTAGTTCTTTTTTCTATTAAAAAGTTATTAATAATTTAAATTGTACGTTAAAAATAATATTAAAATAAATATTTGGTGTGGATTTACGTCCTTTAAAAAGCCCTTAAACCCTTTGCTCTCTGGTTGTTTCATTCAATCTTTAAAGTTCCATCAACTATGTAATTTAGTCCTCGCTATCGTCAAGCCCTTGATTGGATCATCGTGCGGGATTTCGAAATTGGAACATAAGTCATGATAAGCATTTTATGCCCTAGACGATCTTTGGAATGTGTCGTCCCCCTTTGAGGTGTTCCCTAAGCGATGTTACAAATAATACAATCCTTGATTATTAGGATTCTGACCGGTAACATAATTGGAAAAACCTCACCAACAATAATTGTCTAGGGACTTCCGTTATTAGAGTTGTAATCATCATTTTTCTCTTAACATACTTCATTACAAAAACCAAAATCGGTCAAGCCCAAACCTCAAAACCCTTCAAACCCAAACCTCAAGTCCAACTACCCAAACCCATTTTACGACCGATCTAGAGCCCAAAAGAACAAAACCCGACCCGGCCTAGCCTAGCTAGGTAGTTGCCTGAGCACCCCAATCAATAGCTTACCATTCCTGCAAAAATCATCTCCAACACTCCACACTACCCTGCAAAAGCAACAGAGAAGAAAACAAAATATCAATCTTTTAAATGCTATGTAAACGGGTATACAAAAGGAACCCATGCAAAAAATAGAAAGTGAACTCTCTCTCGGTTCTGAAAAAAAAAAGAACACTGTAATTTTTTTTGGAAGCAATAAAACAACAACTACATTTTAAGGTTTTTTATCCTTTTTACTTCGAATATCATTATCTGATTTTATTTTATTTATTTATTACATGTTTGTTTCGGGTACCAGCAAAAAAATGGTGACTAACCCTTGAGTTTCATTTCAAATAACAAACAAAAGACAAAGGTTCGTTAAATCGAATGATAACAATAAATCGGATTTTTTAACAGCAAATGTCAACCATTTTTTTACAGCAAAATAATACAAAGAAATAAAAGAAAATGGTTTCAAAGATTACCCGAGTCGTTCGTGTCGCCAGAGTCTGGAGGGGAGCCGAAGAGTCGGGGCTTTTTCCTTTGGATTTAGGGCGGTTTTCGACGTTTTTAGCCCCAAGTAAGGGCTAAGGATGGTTGATCTGGGCTTGGGGAGTTTCTTGGGGGCATTTTGGGTCGATTTGGGATTTTCGGCCATCGTGTGTGACGGGCGGAGCGGCGGCCGGAGGCGGCCGGACGACAGTGGGCCGACCGAGGTTGAAGGGGAGAGCTTCTCCCTTTTTTTTCTTTTTTTCTGTTTGGTTGAAAATGAAACAAAAAGAAGGATAAATAGTATTTATAAAAGGAATTAATGGTTTAATCGTGTTTTATCCCTATACTTTGCGCGTGTTTTTGCAGTTTGGTTCATGAAGGGACCAAAACTAATATTTTTCCTCTTCTGTGCATGTGTTGTTATTTTTTGGATTATTCACTATTTAGTCCCTATAACTTTAGTGTGTTTTTATATTTCGATCATCTGTAGGGACCAAAATTGTAATTTTCCCTTTTCTTGCATGTTTGTATTTATTTTGGGTAATTCTCTGTTTGGTCCCTTTAAGTTAACCGTGTTTTTACACTTTAGTCATTTGTAGTGACCTTTTAATTTTTTTAATATATGTGGATCAATTTTGTAATTTTACCTTTTTATTTTGACAGATTATTTTTAGGCTTAAATAATGGTTTATTTTCCTTTAAGTCCCTCTAATTTCATGCTTGTTTTGTATTTTTGTCTTTAATCTATTTTTTATTTTATTTCGATTTAGCCCTTGTATTTTTAATTTGTTTTAATTTAGTCCTATTTTATGTTTAATTTGTTCCTATTTAGTTTAGTAATTTCACATTTATGCAATTATGTCCTTATTTTATGTTTATTTTATTTTTATTCTATGTTTTACTATTTTTTATTTATTTATTATTTTTTATTTTTTATTAAGCTTATTAAATGTTTCTTTTTTTCATAGTTTAATTTATTAGATTTAGTTTTAAATTAGATTAATATTCGAATCAAGTTTAGCAATTAGGATGACACTCTAGCTTAATTAAGGAGCAATTCGAGTCGAGTTTTCGCAAAAGATGCTCAATTACTCGAATCAATTGCTCGATTCTAAAATTAATTAATAATTAATATTTTCTAAAAAAAACTTTAAGTTTAATAATTTAGATAATAATTAGGTTTTTAATTAGCCCCCTAACTTTAGAAATTATCATTTTAGGTCCTTAAGCTTTTAAGTCTTTTAGAACTCGGTATTTTTAGATCTTGACCTTTTTAGTCCCCGAACTTCGAAAAATGTATATAATTTTTGAAGGATTAAAAGAAAATTTGACTTATTTGATATTCAATGAACTCTTGTTTTACAATTTGCTTTTATTTTTAGCCGGATGAAAAGGCCTACACTTTTGAATTTTATTCAACATTTCTTTCACATTTCTACAATAAAAGAAAAGAGAAAAACATTTTCAAACATGACAATCTCGAGTGAAAAATGTCTTGAGGCTAGTGAGACTCATTCTGCCTTTATCGTAGAAAAGGAAAAAATGATGAAGCATTTCTTAAAAGCAAATAATCTGAGAGATCATAAGGACTAGAGGATAGAACTTCTAACACTTCATTGTGACATTGTCAGAAGCAGATGATCGTCTTAGTTGAAGGTGGCACACATCCCACCTCATAGAAAAGATGAAAGACAATCATGTTAGAGGAATTAATCACTTCTTGAGTGTTCATCTGGTGGTGGCCTCATGAAAGGAAGCCCTCAAGATATTCGATAACATTGTTGATTAGATACACAAGAGTGAAACCATTCGAAATTAAAATTTTGGCACGAAGAGAGCCATTAGTACCCATATTGGGCATTACCAAAACCAGATGTCGTTAAGATAACAAGATTCGAATTAAACAGACATGACAAATAAGCCTGACCGATTGGAGTTCCAAGGGCAGAATGAAAAAAAAACAGAGCTTACCTAGAGAAACCATTCACGCTTCAGTTGGCAAATGACTCTTGAGAAACAATTCTAACTGGAAAATAGAGTCAAAGACGTGTAAGGTGCCCAATCATCTACCTAATCGCAACGAGAATTTAAAGGAGGAAGCACTTCTTTTAGAATCGTGTTGAAGAATCAAGACAAAAGATAGAAGATGATAGGGACATGATTGTTCCAGGTGATTAGTTTGACCATGCTGATGTTGGGGGCAGACTCCATACAAGAGTGATCAAGTGAATGAAGATTGAGATCTCTATTTGGAAGTCAAAAAAGGGTTACTGATAAACATTTTTGCATATAAGAGAGTCATAAATTACATGTAGATACATATTCTATTCACATTTCATGCATCAAAGCATATCTTTACAGATTTTTCAAGAAAAAAAGAAAAGGAAAAATCAGAAATCAAGCCTTTAATGAAGGGAATTATATTTCGAATGGTAGAACCTCAAGAATTGAGGAACTCAATCCAAGAATAATCATTACTTTGATGTGGGGGCACGTTACCCAAAAAAACATAATATTTTCAAAAGAAAGATTTTAAAGAAACAAAACATGATTTTCTGGGGTTTCTTGATGATGGTTTTCAAAGATTTTTTAAAAGAAAGCTAAGCTCAATTTTTAGGGGTTCCTTGATGATAACTAAGAAACTAAGCTTGATTTTCAAGGGTTTCTTGATGAGTAAGTCCTTCGGGCCATCAGTAAGTCTTTCGAGCATGATGCTTAAATCGTTCATGTCATCTATAAATCTTTTGAGCAAGATGATAAGTCCTTCGGGCCATCCATAAGACATTCGGGAAGAATTTTTCAAAATGAGTTTTTAGAAACTAAGCCCGATTTTCAGGGGTTTCGTGATGATTTTCTCCAAAGAATTTTTAAAAGAAGCTAAGCCTAATTTTTTAAAAAAATCTAAGCCTAATTTTTAGGGGTTCCTTGATGACAACTAAGAAACTAAACTTGATTGTCAAAGGTTTCTTGATGAGTATGTCCTTCGGGCCATCAGTAAGTCTTTTGAGCATGATGCTTAATCTTCTATAAGTCTTTCGAGCAAGATGATAAGTCTTTCGAGCCATCCATAAGACCTTTGGGTAGGATGTTTTCAAAATGAGTTTTTAGAAACTAAGCATGATTTTTAGGTGGTTTTTTTATGATCATCTCCAAAGACTTTTTAAAGGAAGCTAAGCCTAATTTTTAGGGGTTCCTTGATGACAACTATAAATGAAAGATTTTAAGAAACTAAGCTTGATTTTCAAGGGTTTCTTGATGAGTAAGTCCTTCGGGTCATTAGTAAGTCTTTCGAGCATGATGCTTAAATCCTTTGGGTCATCTATAAGTCTTTAGAGAAAGATGATAAGTCCTTCGGGCCATCCATAAGACCTTCGAGTAGGATGTTTTCAACATCTCTGATGCTTGATTCACAATACTTCGAAACAACAACGCCCCACCAGAGGGGTTCACATTTTCTTTGCTCGATTCACAACATATCGAATCAACAACGTATCACTCGAGGGATCAACATTTCCAGTGGAAAGATCATGATAAGAAGAACCCATAACCAGAAGAAATGAAGATGA